TCCGTGTCAAAGACCCACAGCATGATGCTATCACCACCATTTGGGCATTGCTTTTTTCATTGGGAATAAATAGTTCAATCTTTGTCTCATCTGACTATCAATGTTTCTCCAGTCTAATCCAGGTAATAAAGTCTTTGATATGTTAATGCCAAACTTCTTTATTCATGTCCTCTCTGTCCATGATGATTGAGGTTAAAGCTCGGGTGTCTGGGTTGTTCTTGAACATCGTCGTCAGTCTCCTTCTGTCTAAAGACAACACTTGGGGCAAACTTCTTGAAATTTTAATAGTGGTGATTGTCTCCCTAGGACATTGGTTATAAACACACACTACAACTGGTTCAGACGGATTCTCAAAAGACAAAGATAAATCTGATGTTCAGGTCCATTGTGTGAACATAAACTGTTTTTATGTCCTGTTTCTAGAGTGTGCAGCTGTCATTAGGTCTAGTCTGGGTGAGTTAGTCTCTGTGAACTCTCCACTCTGTGAAAGATCCAGCATCAGCTTAATAAAAATATACATCTGACCTAAGATATTATCTCAGCCCTTAACAACGGACCTGTGATACATTATAAAAATCAGTCTTTCCTTCATGACAGTTGAAAATATGATCAAAAATCTTGTGCTGTTGCTAATAAGATGATCCTGCACAGTCAGCACCATTTCTGTCTTTGTCTTTGGTTTTTGGTTGTAGATTATAGAAACGCCTTAGCTAAGCTAAATTTAATTGTATTACAAATTTTTAAATGGTGAAGTTAGAAAATGGAGAACACTTATGATAAATAGTATACCAATTGACATAAAACCTTAGAAATGCTACAAAAAAAAATAAGACAGAACAAAATTATGTCCTGAAGCATTAAAACCAAACTTAACTGGTTTATTATTCACATTGTTTGGATTTGCTTCAAGGTGTATGGATAGCTGACAACGATAATCATTATGTATCGCCATCCCAGTGTTTAATCTCTTCTGACTGGAATGATCTGTTTCCAGTTAGGCAAGAAAGTTGCTGAGTCGGTAACATTGGGGTGAGTATTGTTAACATCAAACATGTAGAGATGACCTGGTAGACTGGCCTATCAGTCAGATATCTCTCACTGGAGAACAGCAGAGAACCTACTTCCCTACTTGTAAACGTTTGCCAAGGTATATATGGATAAGATCGACTTCACATCTTAAGTATCGGAGGATCAAGAACACACACCACTCTCAAAATAATGGATCTGCGGGCCGACAAATCGGTGCACCTCTAGTTTCCAGAATAGCAGAAGTACGTCGCCCTTATTGTATCTGGCTGTTTTGACCTGCACTGTGTTCTTTTATTGGTGATGTCTGTGTTATGAAGCCATAATTCTCCACTTATGATTTATGATTTGGTACAACTTATGATACAATAAAATTTAAACACAGAAGAAAAATGTAAAAACTTGAAATTCTTTATATGGATGTAAGAAGAATCTGTCTGCTGACCCTGTGCTGTTATTTCTCATTACTCAAACTCATCTTAAGTGTTTGAATTCAAAAAGAGGGCTGAATGATGAAGTGAGTTTTTGCAGATGTGTGGCACAATAGTTTCTGTTGGAGAGCTTCGGAAATCATAACAGGAAATATTACCTTAGGAAATGCTGCACTGCCATTAGAAGATTTCACCAGCCAATGTCCAAGATATTTGATAGAAATTAGTTAAAAATATAGTCATTGAAAAAATTATCCTAATGATAGGAATCAAAGGGTCTCTGTTAGCTGTAAGGGATTTAGTTGGAAACAGCGCCCCTAGTGAACATTCGGTTTAAGGCCTGTGGGCCTTTATGGTTGATGTGATTTTTCCAGCTAATTTTTATTGTTGCATTTGGGTAAATAAAAAAATCTCATCATGAACTTGCTCATTTATTTATTTGTATGTTATTTTCATTTTTCAGGTCAATATGAATTTTTGAACTAAGTTGTTTCTAATATCTCTGTTCTGATTGTGTTTGTGCAGATTTGCCTCTCCCAGGAGAAGCCTGTCCCAACTGTCTCCAGACCCAAAGACAGCTCTGAGCACTCCTGTCTCTCCTGCATCAGAGATGTCTGCTCCATTGTCCAGCCTGGCCCTTTCTGTCCCCTCAGTGGCTCTAAGTCCCTCTGTTGAGGAGGAGCGCCCGCTGCTGCTGTCAAAGAAGAGCCAGCAGCAGCTGTCCTCAAGACTGACCGATCAGAAGACAAGCTTCTCCCACTACAATCACGGCCTGATAGCACACAGCTTACCTCCCAGCCCAGCCCTCGTTGCAAAGAATGTTACCGGAGTCACGGGGAACTGCGGGACAGACGCTGCCAGCTACAGCTTTTTAGAATTACCAGAGAAACTAATGAATCAGAACTGCAGCATCAAAAGTGCTGCATGCCATGTACTGTATTCCATGGAGTCCAGTGACAGCATGCTATTCAGTGAAACAGACGAGCCTCATGGAGGAGACATACCCTTCCGTACTGCAGACAGTAGCACAGCCCTTTGGGACGCGGAGAGCAGCAGGACTAACCCAGCATCACCAAGCCCTGTCCTGCTGGTTAAACCTTACAATCCCATTGCTGTGTAACATTAACAAAAATACCTTCCACAGAGACATATTCACTTAAAATGTAATTTTCAACAAGCTAACTGATGTATAAAGACTTTTGAAAAAGAAAAAAGAAAAAAGAGACCTATTTTAGTGAAGTAGCAAATAAAGAGTTTTATAAAAGAAGACACAGCTGTATAAAGATGTTCATGAGCTGCAGGTTAAGTGCCATATGCTCGTATGTAGCAAAGGTTCCCAGTAGATTTCAGAGCAGAAAAATATCAAAGGTGCCTTTCTGTTTAGTGTGGCTGAGCTGGAGTAGCGTTGCATACTGAGCTATGGATCACCGTCCCAACACTTGGTTGGGTCCAGACGCATGCTTTGATAAAATAGTGAGCATGTTGTGGTTTAATTTCCAGGGTTTTCCTTTGACAGGTCACTCCTTTCATACCCTCGTCTGATTGGTCCACTCAACGGCTTAAGGGAATGTGTCACTGAACTACCACACCTGGACTCATACCAGTAAACATTTTTAAAATGGCTTGTTATCTGCATTTAATGAAAGATAGAGAAAATGTTAGCAAAAATCTGATTTTTGTTGGTCACTGTCTGTCCCAGTAACCTGACACTGAATTAATATAACTGTGAGATAAATGTGCAATCACTAAAACCTGCTTTGTAGGTGTTGCTAATGCTGTCACATCTATACCTAACATAACCATATAGATTTCTTTCATTTCTATATTGGCTTCTATTCTGCATTAAAGTTCTAATGTTGTTACCAGCAGCACTGCTGTAGCTCTGGAAAGCCGATATACATTCCCACTTCAGGCTGGGGATTTTCCAGAAAGGCTGCATAAGGAGACCAGTGTCTGCAAGCTAAACTCCTAACTGTTTGCCAAGTGGATTTAAAAAGCTGTCCTGTGAGATGTAATATGAGTAAATAATGAATATCAATAACAAAGACATGAAGAGAAAGATGGAGATGCTTTTTTTTTCTTTTTTTGCTGACTTCCAGCAAATCACTGGAGACAAAATGGCTGCTAAAATGGAAACAGTAGTGGTCAAATACACCGACTTTATGTTCATTAAGGCAAAATATGTTCCTACATCTGACAAAAATATCATTTTAAAAAGTAACGTTTCACTCATTTCTATAAGAAACAATTTACTTTGTTCCACAAGCTGTAGAAAAATCAAGTCAGGGTTGTTCCTCCGAAGGACAATGATGAAAATAGAGAATAAATGGAGCATTGTTCCTTTAATGAAGGCTTTCATGTTGTACAGACTGGCCACAAATAATGCATTAACTACACATAGTGATTGACTGCTTTAACTCTTACATAGACTTGTGTGTTTGGACTTTTAAATTCAACAACTCACAAACTTCAAAAGACTTGTTTGCACTTCTGTTCTCAAATGTTTCTGTTTGTAACTTATGTGTGTTGTGTCATTGTAAATGTAATTGAAAAGAAATGAATAAACAAAAACCTGAAATGGTTTAACCATCCAGTCTATTATTTGTCATCTGCTGAACACTCACTCACCATGGAACCAACAGAAAGAAACGTTATTTTTGGAGGTTGAAAACAAATATAATCTCCAAAAGTTACACAATCATTAAAATATGTAATACCTCTAGCATAAAAATAAACCAAAAAAGGCCCAAACACAGTTGATTGTCAATTTGCTTGGTTTTACTCTGTAGGATTGACTTTTCAACTCTGAACCTACTCAATAAAAACACTTTGTGAATTTCAATATATTCTGTGTTGTACCTCAATGTACCATTATATTCTTGTTCTCGCAGTACAAGTATTCATAGAGCTTTTACCTATTTTGTCATGTTACAACCACAAAATTATAGTTTATTGTATAATTATACATGACAAACCGACTTAAAGGGTTACTTTGCAGTAACTGTTAGTCTAACTTATACACCCCGTCCACTAGGTGGAGTAAGAGTCATGCAGGGGTTTTCATGTTTTCTCCTTTAGCATCAAAAGACATGAAAAGTCTGCTTGGTCTTATATTAATGATAAGAAAAAATATTTGAATTGAATATGGTGTATATCAAAGTTGGGCCTCATTGTGTCTCTTTTGGCAAACGTATTTTTAAAATGTTATTTATTACACATCATTCCAGGAAAGGACAATTCCATGATGAGAACATGAAACTACCAGCTGTTCTCTGACATTTGTTCTATTAAACATTTCAATCTGCACCTGATTGTCTACAGAACATTTGAGTTCCCTTCAATCAGCGGGACCCAAGTTCTCCACCGCCACCCTCCATGTTTTTATTCGCATTATAACAACATTTCCGCTCAAGAATCTCGTGCTGTAGTGGGTTTTGCAGCAGGGGAAACGATGGGAGGACGAGCAGTCCACGTTCCCTCCTCCTCTCTCCGGACTACAGGGAGGAGGAGCGCAGAGATCTGACGCAGTGTGCGCTGCTGTTGCTGCTGCTGCCTCACTTCCACTCTGCTCCCCGGAGTACCATCACAAACACTCAGCTCCTCCCGGACTCTGGGAGCTTCAGGGCGGTTTCTGTGCGCGACGATGCTGCCTGTGATGGTCAGAGGGCCGGCGGGGCTCCGGGCCTCGGGCTCGGGGTTGAAGCTGGAGCTGTGATCGCGGAGGTCTGCTCTCATTGTGTGCCGAGTGGCGCAGGAGAAGAGGATGTCTCCGCGGCCGCGGGAACCCCTCCCATTCCTGCCACAACACTTGATTATTAGCCGACACCGAGGTGCTGTTGTCCCCCGTCTGACCGAGGGCTTGTTCATCGGAGGAGCGCTGGTTTTTGAGGGACTTTGTCCACCATGCTGCTCGCTCAGGAATCATGAGAGCTCTCAATGAAAACAACGAGGAGGAGGAGGAGAAGGAGGGATCTGGGTGCAACGCCATGGAGGAAACGGAGAACAATCTGAAAACGGCCAGGTTGTGGAGGGATGCCGCCCTCCGCTCCAGGAAGCTGCGGAGCAACCTCCGCCAGCTGACCCTCTGCTCCAAAAACAACCAGATCATCCTGCCCGACGACATATCCGACATAGAGGTGCTCAACCTGGGAAACAACTCCCTCCAGGAGCTGCCGGACGGACTGCAGTCCACCCTCAACAACCTGCGCATCCTCATCCTCCGCAGGAACAGGTTCTCCGCTGTGCCCAGGGTGGTGCTGGAGCTGGGGCAGTTGGTAGAGCTTGACATGAGTCACAACTGTGTGAGAAGCCTGCCTGATGGTGTGGGGCAGCTTAGAGGACTGAAGAAGTTTTGCATCAGTCACAACAAACTCCAGAACCTTCCAGCTCAGATTGGAGCGCTTCAGACTCTGGAGGAACTTGACATCAGTTTTAACGACCTGCACGACTTCCCCAGGTCCTTCACCAGCCTTTGCAAGCTGCGAACTCTGGATGCAGATCACAACAAGCTGAACCGGTTCCCTGCTGAGATCTTGGCCCTCGGGGAGCTGGAGGAGCTTGACCTCTCTGGGAACAAGTTTCAGGCTTTGCCAGCTGACATTTTGAGGCTGAGATCCACCAAGATCCTGTGGCTCAGCAGTCTGCACATGTCCTCCTTACCTGACACTTTCTGTCACCTGCACAACTTGGAGAGCCTGATGCTGGATGGAAACAACCTCACAGTGCTGCCTTCATCCTTTGCTCAGCTGCAAAGACTGAAAATGATAAATTTGTCCTCCAATGAGTTTAACGAATTTCCACAGGCTGTTTTAAGCATTACAGGATTGGAGGAACTGTACCTGAGCAGAAATAAACTGACTAACATTCCAGAGGGAATTGCTCAGCTGGTGAAGCTGGTAAATCTCTGGCTGGACAACAACAACATCACTCATCTACCTGATTCCATTGTGGAGCTTGAGAAGTTGGAGGAGCTTGTTTTACAGGGTAACCAAATAGCTATTCTTCCAGATCATTTTGGCAAGCTGTCCAGGGTTAACATTTGGAAGGTGAAAGATAATCCTCTCATCCAGCCTCCATATGAGGTGTGCATGAAGGGAATCCCATACATTGCTGTCTACCAGAAGGAACTTGCACAGTCTCAGCTTGCTGTGAAGCCATGGCTCAAACTGGTTCTGATGGGGACAAAAAATGCTGGGAAGACCAAGCTGAGACAGAGCTTGGTACCAACTGAGCAGGACGTCAGAGGAACCCAGGGACATAAAGGAATAGAAGTCACTAATTGGGTGGCAGACTCTGATCACCATCTAATGTTCTTAGTGTACGACTTGTCAGGGAACCTAAACTATGACCTCATCAAACCCTTTTTTCTCTCCCCCGGTGCTCTCTATGTTCTCGTTGTCAATCTTAAAGCCTACTCGCCCAAGAACTTTTATGCCCACATCGGGTATTTCCTTCACCTGCTGTGCGCGAAAGTCCCGCATGCTGTTGTGTGCTTGGTGGGGACACATGCTGACCTGTGTGGAGAGATGGAGGTGGAGGAGAAAACTCTGGACATACACAGACAGATCGGCCTCCAGGAGAGGAGCGACATCCAATGTCTAAGAAACCTGGTCCAGCAGGTCGACCTCGCGCTGGAGCAAGGCTACAAGGTCCGCACCTCCAGCCCACATGTTCTCTTCTATGGTGTCAGCGACAAGAACCTGAGGCGCAAGAAAGCCCAGTTGCAATACATGCTTAACCAGCGATTGCAGATCCTGTCCCCGGTCCTGAGCATTAGCTGCACAGAGACACAGAAGAACATCCAGAGGCTGAGGGAGAAGCTTATGTTGGTTGCAGACCACAGGGAGATTTTCCCCAACCTTCACCGTGTGCTGCCAAAGTCCTGGCAGATGTTGGAGGAGTTGCACTTTAAATCCAAAGATCTGTGGCTGTCATGGTGGAGCTCAGCCCGTCTGGGCCTCCAGGCGGGACTCACAGAGGATCGACTGCAGAGCGCCTTGTCCTACCTGCATGAGAGTGGGAAGCTGCTCTACTTTGAGGACAGCATCACACTGAAGGAGTATGTTTTCCACAATCTTCCACGTTTTATTGCAATTCTTAATGTCTTCTTTCAGAGGGACAAGTCCACTCTATTGGACCGGCTGCTGTCTGAAGGGGAGAGGGGTGACAAGGGGAGAGTGAGTCTTGTTATTGAGGATGAGAAGGGAGAGAACCTCAGGGTCACTCATCTTCAGCAGCACCTGGAGGGCTTCCTCCATGATGGTATCCTGCCCTCCAATGTCATCCGCCTGCTCCTCAGACCACACATTGAGACACAGCAGGACCTCCACCTTATTATGGAGCTCCTGGAGAAGATGGGTGTCTGCTACTGCATCAACAAACCTCGTACCAAGCCCTTGAATGGAGCCACAGTGTGGTACAAGTTTCCCAGCTATGTCAGTAACGAGGAGGCTCAGTTAGAAGACTCAGTGGGACCAAACTCTCTGAATCTTAGCCCCTTGTTCTCAGTGGAGCAGCTCTATATCCAGTACAGCTTCCCTTTCCTGTTTCCTCCTGGACTTTTTGCACGCTTCAGTGTGCAGATCAACAACCATGTGGTCCAGCGGTCAGATGGCAGGCACCAGATATTTGCCTTTCGGGGGAAGGTCCCAGTTGTGATCAGTCACCAGCCCTCTAAGGGGAAGCTGTTCATGGAGACTTTGTCCATCGCTAGCCATGCCTCACTGCCTAACATCTGGACTGCCTGGCAGGCTGTCACTCCGCTGGTGGAGGAGCTGAACATGCTACTGCAGGAGTGGCCTGGTCTGCACTATAGTGTACATATTCTCTGTTCCAAGTGCCTCAAGAGAGGGTCGTCCAACCCGCATGCCTTCCCGGGTAAGTTCTGTTTGATGAGCTCCAGGTGAGCATCTTTAATCCAGGCTTATTAACACAGCTCAGACATGTGAACCAGACTGAACTGGGAATGGTGCAGAAAATATTCTGTCTATTTAATAAAAATCAACTTCACCAAGCAACCAGCAGAGCTAACAGTTGGTGTTTGACCTGAGTGGATACAATCTGGGAGAGCTTTCAGAAGATTATATTACTTCCTTATCTGGAAAATACTCTGGCTGCTACATTTAGTTCACCAATATGGTTCATTATTTTCTTTTTCCAGTAAGAAATTCTTCTGTTGGTTTCAGAACATAAATGATCTGGAACCATCTGATCTACTAACACTGAAGGTGATGCTTGAATCATGATGGATCCTTTTTCTTGTGCTTGTTTTGCTGCAAAATATAACAACAATTATAATTCAGTATAATCTAAGGCTTGGTGTCATTAAATCTAGGTTAGATTTCAAGGCTGTGTTCTTTTTAACATCCAGGACAGTTGATGTCAAAGGGGAACAGTTTGCTGTTCCTGGACAGGTTGATACTGTTCGGGCACAAGCCGATGATGATGGTGTCTGAGTGAACAAGGCTGCCCTGTGAAATTAGACGGAGTTCCGTCTTTGTCCTTGTCTGCCTCTGCTGTGAGAGCAAGATTTGTGTTGACATGAGCTGAACCACTGCAGCTGTCAGTAATCAGATTCAGCCACACCCTGATTCTGAATGCAGCTCCATGGAAGATGGAGACAGATGCCTCCATCAGTGGGGGATGGAGGTGTAACAAAGCTGCTTGCCTCTTCCCTCTTCCACAGGGACAGAAATAATCCTCAGTGCTGGTCAGGCTGCAGCTGCACCATGACCTGCTTTTAATGCTGGGCTCTGATTCTGCTGGCTGCAGACTGGATGTGCAGCCAGCTGCTGCTGTCATGTGATCTAATGTAATGCTGGATATTCTCAAGCTTTCAGGACTCTTGTTTTACAAGATTTCCGCTAATTAGATGAGCAGTTTTAACTCCCAATAACTTTATATACTTTGACACATTTTACAGAGAAGCTCTGACACACATCTTTCTTCACACTGTACATAAACCCAGTCATCTGTTATTGCAACATTATTGTGGTGACAGTTTCCATCTTGGTTTGAAATGTTGACATGGCATGTTTCCAAGGCAGACGAGTCTGGGATGCTTTCTGACATGAAGGCTTCTCTGTGGGCTGTTCACTGTCTGATCTTAAAGTACAGTATCTTTTTGATCATATTCAATAAGTGTTTGGATGTCAAACTGCAAACGCACATTTTATTTTGAGGGTCTGTGATATATTTTTTTAAAGTTTTGCAGTTTACACTCCCGGTGGCCAGAGAACAAAAAGATTACAAAGAAACTGGAAGTGGGAGGTCATCCAGTCTCTGTTCCTGCAGATCTGCACAGAATCATTTCCACTGAACATAGTTTTGTTTCAACCAATGATTCATTTTCCGCCTCAGTGGTCAGAGCTTGGGAATTGGTTTACTGCAGTGCTCATGTCTGGCATGGTGTGAAATGTTGCCCAGTGTTAGGGTCTGATCCGAATAGCTTGAGTGTGACAGCAGAGTGATCACAGTGCTGATGTTTAACAAGTTTTTTTCTGCTGCTACTGCTTTATCAGTCATCCTGATAAAAGACAGATTTCCTCCTGCAGGACTCATTCTGCTCCTGCACACCAGCAAGCTTTTCACTTTGTCTTTGAGGCAGAACACATAGAAAAGACTCAGACTTTATGGCACATTGTGTGCTGGCAGCTGTGCAGGTATTTCCTCCTGCTTATTATATTTAGAAAAAGCAGCTGGGTCAGTTTTTGAGTAAAGTTCAGCTGTGCTCAGAGGAAATAGGCTGCAGGTCTGCTGGGAGGAAAGAGTCATGTGGACGCAAGCTGAAAGATTTACTGTTTCAGGATTGAAAGGGACGTTTCAATTCTGGTTAGAGGAAAAGAGCAAGGCATACTCTATAAAAATCAAAAGATTCAAAACGGAAGAAGTGATTATTGAAAGCCTGAAGTTCAAAGAGACACAGCAGTAGGTATAATAGATGTGGTGTGTAAGAAGATCTGCTTCATCTGGCCTTTTATGGACATGATCCTTGTGGCTGCAGTGTGTTGATGCAGTTTGGACCCACAGAGACTAAACACACTTTGTCCTCAGATGATCCACTCCATTTGAGAACAAAGGCCTGGGTTGATTACGTGTGTTAGACTGTTGGCATCTTCTCCTTTTTCTTCGTCACGTGATCTATGCACAGGTCTGAACACTCGAAGTCTTCTCTGTTCTCTTTTACGGGTTTATTTCGTTCATATTTAGTGTAAATCTGCTGAATTGTTTTCACCTTGGTATTTTGTTTGGATCATATCAAGTTTCTCTTCTTTTTGAAATGATTTTTACTCACCTGTATAACTACAAACCTGAAGTTCGTGTATTGAGGAAGTGACAAATAGTGTGTGTGTGTGTGTGTACATTTATTCCACACAGACTGTTTTTCGATCCTTTATTTCTTTTATAATAATTTTCCTCTTGCAGCACATTTAAGATTTGAATATTACATCAGAAATGTGTAATACAGAAATGTGGATTTAATGGCATGTATGTTTATTACCTACTCAACAGTTTTTATTTAAAAAAGCTACTATTAATCTGACAAGCCTTGTTAGAACACAGATTCTAACTTGCTGAGACGTAGCTGTGGTTCTACAGAGTGCAACACTGTGCTGCTCACCCTCCAAAAACTCATACCTCTTCATCTTTTTCACATTTTGTCACATCACAATGACAAACATCAGTGTATTTTTTATTTTGGGGTTTTATGTGACTGGTCCTCACAACATAGTGTTTATTTCTGAAGAGGAGGAAAAGTTATGCTTGATTTTCAACATTTTTTACAAATAAAATTGAAAAAAAAAGGCCTGTGATTGTGTTCAGACCTCCCATAAACCCATGAGTTATGGATTAGTTTATGCCCTTAAATAAACTAAACTCTAATTTATGAGTCAGCCAGCAACAGCAGGATGACCTGCAAATGCAGGTTTGGTGTAAACATGTCATGTATCTGCTAACTAAGATCCAAACTCTTTTGGTAGATAGTTTATTTTTTGGTACAGTTACATAATGCATTGAATGAAAATCACATCAAAGTGAGTTTTTGCAAAGTTGTAATCGCAGTTTGGATGTAATATTTGGTAGAATATTATAATCAAAGTGTCATGCACTAATAATATGTCTGTCCTGTTGGATAGACAGTCTCTGGTGATGTTGATGCTTATTATCATGGCAACATTCAGCATTGCTATCACAATGACATGTTTCCTGATGTCCTGATATTTAGTCTGGTTAGAGTTTTATTGTGAAAGTTTTTGTCTTCTTCAGAAGACCACAGTTTCTACATGGACTAGCTTCTCATTCAATTGAGGGAATAACATCACTGTATCGAGCCCAGGGGTCAGATATAGGTCAGACTGAGATCAGTGGCTAAGACTTCTCAGAACATAAAAAGAGAGGAAGAATGTCTGGATTCTCTGGTCCTGTAAGTTCTTCTTCTCTTCATTAGCTGCTTGAACAACTGACAGTCAGCCTTTAGCGGCGAGGCCTGGTGACTGCAGCCCATTGGTGGTGAACACCCTCGCTCAGCTTCACAAGGAATTTAAGGTTCAAAATTAGACAAACATAAAAATAGATGAAGCAGAGTTCATCCTGACCTGGAGGCTCAGACTCATTAGAGCTCCAGAGCTCACAGTGAAGGATTACTGTTGGAGCAGGCAGCAGGAGCGCTGGTCTATTTGAAGCACAGAAGCTTGTGATTAGAAGAAAAACACACCACTCATCACTAGTTCTGGATGATGAGTGCCTCTATCTGTTTGGGAGGTTGTTCATCTGCCATGGTTCTTGTTTTCAATAGCATAGAAATTCATGATGTTCCTGAACTCATCGTCACATTAGTTTGAGTTGATGCGTCAGTGAGCATCCTGAGCTAGCTGCTCCAGGGCACCATCATAAGACCAAAGCACCATATTGAAGTCTTATCGAGTTTTTGAGAGAACTGATAAATCATGCAAATGAAACTATTGAATTTATTTTAAATTATCAAGCTATTAATTGATTTATTGTGTATTGCGACAGGCCCATCGTGGTCTAATGCAAAACCTTTTTTCGTGTCTTTGGTTAAAAATTTTGTTTTTACCAAGTTCAAACATTATTTCAATCACACCTGAAGTATACATACACACATAGAAGACCACATACCCTTATTTTTTAAAAATTAAAATGAATTTGAAATTTCAAGATTTAAAAAGTAAACACACCCCATGCTTGGTGTAGCACCTTTGGCAGTAAACTCGTACAGTGCTTGGTTTCTCCAGGGCTCTTATTTGCAGTAGTGCAGATTTGTGTTCCTCTGCAGCTCTTTTTATTCCACAGCACCTTGTTTCATTCAGCTTGTCGTCTCGACTTTGACTGGACCATTGCAGTACCTTGGCTCCTTTTTGTTGTGGAAAGAAACCAGAAATGGTGACCAGACGGTGATGTTGGGGTCATTGTCCTGTTGATGGTCCTGTTGATGATCCAGTTTGAACCAGTCTTCAGCGATTAGACAGATGGTTTCATGTTTGACTCCAGAATACTTTGGTAAACAGGAGTTCATCTTAAACTCATGTGGCTGTAAAACAAGCCTAAATAATCCCCCCTCCCACCACCATGCTTGAATGTTGGTGTGAGCTGTTTGCACTCATACATGTATACTCTGTGTTTGGTTTTCTCCAGACTTGCTGCTGGGATTCATGGCCTTTGTCTAATCCACATTGTTCCAGGATTCTTGTGGTACAGTCTAATGCAGCTCTGCACACCAAAGTCTTACCTTATAGTTTATATGGGGAACAAACTTTCTTGACTTTCTGGGCAGCTTTTCCAAACAGACCAAACATGTTCAGGTCATTTCTGATGTCTTTCTCTCTTGGCTTTGTGCTGTAGATACATACAGTAAA